TGGCTTCTGCAATGCAAAGAAGACGGAAACGTATTGTCTTTGGCAGGTTGTTCTTCACTTTGTAGATTACTTTGAAGCTGGAGGCGTTTGTTGACATGGAATGACGATTGGTGACGAGATGTTCGATTACTGCACTTCTTATATGGCCATTACTTCCTTTCTGTAGCGTTGCTGGATAGTGTTCTTAGACCCCTTTTGACAGGATGCGCGTTGAACGACCGATGTACATGGCTGACTCCACAGCAACAGGTGAACTGATATATACACATAGAAGTGGTCAATTGCGGGATCTTGTCCTTTGGGCTTCTGCAGACCAGCGGGCGGCTGGAGAACACTACTGTCAATGTTGCTGCAAAGAAAGTTCTTCTTAAAGAAGTCAAAATTCTCCTCCTTAGGACATCACCTTTACGTAATTCCGTATGCTGTTTTGTTTCCATGTACACCCTGAGCACAACTCTTCCATCAAACTATTCACTTTATTACGTAACTCTTCTTTAACAATCGTTTGTGACAAATCTTTATTTATTGATTCAACACCGAATATATACAACTGGAATGGTGCAACACCTACACTGGATCTAAAGAAAACTCCAATTATGAACAGAAAGTTGTGAATATGAGTATGAGTATACACTGATAGGATTATTAGCGGTTATTAACTGTGAGAGAAAAGGAATCGACTTGTTACCAGGGTATAGTCTTATGGACTTAGAATATGCAGATGACAAAGTCCTGTTAGGGGAGGATGCTGACAAAATGCAGAGTCTTCTGAACACCTTGAGCAGCAATCTTCGTATGTTTGGCATGCGATTCGCCCCTGTGAAATGTAAGATGCTGCTACAGGACTGGACTACGTCAACTCCTAGCTTAGTGATAGGGAGTGAAGTGATAGAACATGTTGACCACTTCACCTATTTGGGAAGACATGAAAAGGTTGACTGTTTTTGATCATAGATGTCTACTATCTCTTTCTCACGTTAGGTGGTATAATAAGGTAAGTAATGTTGACGTTAGGCGTTGAGTGTTGGGCAAAGAGGGAAAGTCAATCGAAGAGGCTATAAAGTTACATAGATTGAGATGGCTAGGTCACGTGCTGCGCATGCCTAACCATCGCCTCCCACGACGGGCATTACTAGCTGATATAGGTGTTGTGGGTTGGAAAAGAGTAAGAGGTGGCCAAACAAAAACATGGCCTCATCAATCCATGAAATCCTTGAAAGTTAAACTGAGTCAGGTAGGGAGGGAGATGCAGACTTCCGGGTTGGGGCCCGCCCTCGGGACTCTAAGAATCAATGGCTGGAGACAATAGGTGACATGGCTCAAAATCGTTGTCAATGGCTTACGCAGATGTATTCAGTCTCTGTAATCTTTCATATACCTTTCTAGCATTACTCATTCTGTTTCACTCTTATACTTGTCAAAACTCTATTGATTCTCTTCACTCATTTTCTTGTCTACCTTTGTGTGCTCTTTGGAACGTGGCAACTGGAACTGCTGCACTTTGGTGCCAAGTTCTATGTTGAATCCAGCCAGCCAGCCAGTGAGAGAAAAGTTATCAATTTATGCAGACTGTATCACACACTGTATATTATGTCAGATAAACTTATCTAATATGGAGTAGTATACCATCACACACAGCGCCCAAACTTCTATCTACCGTTAAATTAAAAAACATTTTAAACATTCATACATTTTCCGTTTTTGAGATGAGTTGATATCAATAATAATATTAGAATTTCTGAGATTCACCAAGAGTACCTGGTATCAACTAAATCACCAACACCTCAGTTTTTACAGCAGATCATTGTAGATGGTTTTAGACCCTTACTAAGGTCTAATAATAAAGCATTAGCATAACTATATGTAGGAACTCAAACCCCTGAAGGCAGGTAGTTCATAAGCTAAGAGGTCCAACAAGATTCTACTTAACCCCACACCTTCATTACATATTAGTCAACTGTATGAAAAAGATTATGCATCTTATCTGAAATCCATAAAACTGAAAAAAAATAGAAATAATGTGGTCAAGTCATCCTTGAAGTCCAACACAACTGAGTCATATGAAAAAGAGAAGACGTTCAGTGAAGAGGCTCATTTTTTCGACAGCGAATTCATTCACATAGCTGTACAATCGCATTTATATATAATTATTTGTGTGCGTGTGTGCGTACATGAGGTTTGTCAAGTTTAGATAATTGATCAAGTAATGCAAGAATGATCTAATATAGAAACAAGGTTAATCAGACAGCAACGAAAGTAAGATTGAATTAGTGAGTTAGATGACGCGGTGTAATTGACTGAAATGTTTGAACTTAGGTCAGGATAATAACAGAGGTAATTACAGGTAGCGCCTCGAAAAAACTCCTCTACATGAACTTTCAGTTCAGTGGAGATCTATCTGTGGAAATTCTGAAAAATCGACTGTCCAGTTCATTTAAGAAAACTTTCTTCGTAGCTGAACTACGACTAACCTTCTTCACAAAACCTATGATTTGGATGAACGTGAACGATAAGCTACCGCTGCTGGCCTCATCAATGTGTATCTACCTATTCACCTGCTCGTTTGTCGACCGTACCCAGTGTTCGCTATCCAAACGTATCACCGAACACTTACCAACATGGTTTTACAAAGGAGAAAAAACCATGCCCTGCAGCTCTATCTTAGAACATCTGATAGATTCCGGACACCAAGCTACACCTAAAACAAGCTTCAAAGTCGTCTACAGTATACGAAGCAGTCTTCCTAAAACTGTACGAATCAGACTTCTTCAAACTGTAGAAGCAATAGCGATTCACTCGCTCAGTCCTGAACTTTGCATACAGAAGAAGTTCGTTCAATCACTACACTTGCAATGGACGTAATCTATCTTATTACCCGACAAGTAAATTCTACCTAATCTTTTTTTCTTTCTGTCTCTTCATTAGTATTATTTTATCTTCTCAATTGTAATATTTTACATTTTCAACTTCCCTGTTCTCTATCCCCACCAGATTTAATTTCTACACTTCAATACCACTGTTACTGACCTGAACAACACTCAATTTCTAGTCATATATGTTACGTCATTCAACTTATTTGCTCAATTTCACTTCTACTTAGTCTCTACCTGTAATTACCTCTGTTGCTATCCTGATCTAAGTTGAAACATTTTACTCAATTATATATATTACGTCATCTAACTTACTAACTCAATATTACTTTAGTCGCTGTCTAATTAACCTTGTTTCTATATTAGATATCATTATTGTATTACCTGATTAATTATCTAAACTTGACAAACTTCTTGTACACACACACACACACACACAAATAATTATATATAAATGCGATTGTACGGCTATGTGAATGAATTCGCCGTCGAAAAAAGAGTCTCTTCGCTGAACGTCTTCTCCTTGCCAACACAATTACAGAAACCCTAGTTATGCGATAGCGATATCAACCATATTCTGCCACTTGAGCGTTCAGCATCACTACAGTGAACCTTACTATTGTCAACAAAATATTTTAAAATGAATAGATATGGAACAAAGAGTACTCTTTTCGATAAATTCATCATCAGGTTCTACAATTATATATACATTATAATGAATGAATAAATTAGTCTTATGTACGACATTAATGTTTTAAATAACATCAAATCAATAATATTGATAAATCACAACTGAACAGCATCAACATAAAATAAACTGAATGTCAGAAGAATTAGGAAAGGTAATAGTACAAATTCATGAATTTATAGTCTCTACTGAAGGCTGGCCAGGGCAGTAGTAGGGGCTAGCTGGACTTGTTTCTTTTGAACACAGAGCACTGGTTGTTTGAGGCGAATTGCAATAGCCTCTGCTGTTTGGAGCATGCAGTGCTTCGATGATTTTGGTAATTTATTTGGCACCCGGTAGATTATGGAGAAGGATTCTTCATCAGTGCTGGCTTTGTGGCCGGTTTGCACCAGATGGTTCAATATCGAACTGTTAATGGTTTTCACTACACCTTTATCTAGCCATAGTGGGATATGTTCTCGAGCACGAAAATGGGCATTTTTAATCAGTTAAAATATGTTAATTCCATTTCACAAGAAAACTGAATTTCATTCAACATATATAAAAACCAAGGTTATTTATCTCGCCTCATCACCACCGCCATTATTCTTATACTTTCAATTCATAATCAATTCAAATAATTCTCCACATAAACAAAATATATACATATATTGATTAACAAACAGAGACTGATGGGAGAGGATTAGTCATTTGGAAACAATAATGCAAAGTTTGTCTTAAAAAAGAACAGCACTCAGCATGAAAAATAAGGTCTACATTTTCAACTCCATAGTGAATTCAGTATGACCTACTATACGGATCAGAGACTTGCACTGCGCGTCATAAAGAGCACCTTAAACAAACTACAGACCTTCATTAGCAGCTATCTTCACTCAATACTCAAGATCAGATGGCCAGGAAAGATCAGCAATAGGGACCTGTGGGAGCAAACCGAACCCAGAAGGAACCAAATGTGCAACAGATAGGCAGGAAGAAGTGGAGGTGGATTGGCCATACTCTGAGGAAACCATCAAGTGATATCACTAGACAAGCCATCGCTCGAGTGGAACCCGAAAGGGAAGCGGCGAGTTGGTCGTCAGTACGAGGGTGACTTGGAGGAGGTCATGTGAAGAGGAGATGAAAGCATATGGGCAGACATGGAGCCAGGTGAAGACTCTAGCAGAGAACCGAACGCAATGGAGACTCACGGCTGAAGCCCTATGTTCCTCTAGGAATTAAAGGAAACAATAATAATATAATACGCCAGTCATTGTCTAGAGGTCAGCCAAGTCACTACTGCACAAGATAAAAAGTTGGCTCGCTGCCAACATGCCATGGGAATGAGAATTTGACAGATACTGAAAGTTTTATCTCACACTCGAATATATATAAAAGCATAGAATCACACATTATCATTGAAAAACAAATGACATAATATATTCAACTGTCAGTGAAACACTTACCACCAACTGATTGGAAGACACTGATTCCATGTCACTAGACTGATCTCGTGTAGTTGAACAACATGTTGTTGAATGCATCATTACACTTGTTGGATATGTTCTAGTTATAAGTGGAGTGATAATTGGGATAGGGACAAGTACTGGTAGTGGGAGGGAGTATTGCATAGCATTTTGCTGATTTCTACGTGGATAATTGTTCACATCTGAATGGCTCAGACTAGTACTCTCATCATCGTCATCCTCATGCTCATCATCGTCATAATCAATATGATCATCATCTTCCTCTTCCTCTTCTCCAGATGTACCACTAAGCATCCTCGATGGAATCCGTCGGTCTCTTTTCGTCTTCGTTTCCAATTCTGATTTATTTGTAGTAACGTATCGATTGGGCGCAGTTTTAAGCTGACCATGATTGTATGCAGCAGATTTACTGTGTGTAAACTGACTCCCGGTGGGACCATGTCTGTCGGATAGACAATCACTATCCTCAGTCTCTGTAGCTTGTTCACTGATGACATTATGATTGCTGTGTTGCCACCAAATACTAGTGGGTTTAGGCTTTTGTTGGCATGTAGTTTGGTGTTCGTGTGAATGATTAATCCTTTGAAATTTATTATTATTAGTTATGCTACTACTTATATTGCCTTTATGAGTAGTAGTAATATTAGTCGTAGCAGTAGTGATAGTTGTTATCGTGGATGTAGTCAGATGCGTAGTGATATAACCACTACTACTGCTCCGCTTACCAGTGATTGGTTGAAATGACGAGAACCGATATCCTGTTGTACACTTATTATTTAATTCAGCCAGGATTTATACTACTCATACATTGAAAAAAGTATTCCAAACAAATTTAGGTCAGTGGACGACAAAGTCACTCGATGGAAATAATAATTGCCAATGTGTATTAAGAATATCCATTATTTATTAATAGTGATAATATATAATGCATTACTGACTGTGTAGTAGTATCTTCAAAAATTGATTAATTAATTGATTGATTGATAGACTGATTAATTGATTGATTGATTGATTTACACCGTCGTTGTCTGTTGAATTTTTGAATCAATCATTAGAAAATTCCCAGCTCTTAAGTTATCATACCGTTATGATTTAACGCTTGAATGCATAAATTAAGAAAGATGCTTTCAAACAAAACTGTTTATTTTTAATTAACCAATAAGATGAAAATAAAATAATTGACCATTTTGATAGGAATAACCAATCAGCAATGTACTAATTGAAAAGTCTTCTGCTGAGCAATCAGAATTAATTATTTCATTGGAGGATTATCTTGTTGTTGTTTCTTTTTTTTTCGAGAATTTCAAACAACCGCTTGCCTTGATTAGAACATATTTGAAGGATAAAAGGAGTATAAAAGGGTATAATTAAACTAACGACCAGAGTTTGTTAATATATAATGAGATGGAACACTGGAGCAGAGAGTATCAGTGAAATGGTAAGTAAAAGTAGAGTTTTCAAGTGTTGGTTCAAAGGGATTTGATGGGCTTCAAGTTTGTTCACAATTTGACTCCCGTTGGAGAAGCTCTGTAAGCCAGGCAGTACTGCATAGCTGTTTCGTCCTTGCCTGGGACACTTCAGTAGTATGGAAACATGATCCTATCAGATATCAAACCCATGACTTTCAGGTTATAAGGCAAACTGGCAGTGGAATCCAAGATGCGCATTTCGTCCTATTTGGGACTCGTCCGCCAGCTGGATGTACCTGCACTCCCCAGTGAGTGATGATATTCCCTCCGAGGCTCGTATCCAGTGCCCTTAGTTTCAAACGCCAAAGTGTTACCCACTTGACCACTTGGACCACGAGAGCCACCTCTTGTGCAACGGGTCATATTAATTATTTAATTGAATTTTAGATCTTTCCCGTCGATTGATTGGACCGAAGTGGTTGGCGCTAGGTTTGAGCCTCGGTGAGGACATCATCACTCACTGGGAAATGCAGGTACATCCAGCTGGCGGAGGACTCCCAAATAGGACGAAATGCGCAACCTGGATTCAACTGCTGGTCGCTATCCACCAATTAACTTCTAATTACTTGCCCAGACATCACCGAAGCATCTGCACAAGAAGCCAACATGTCAACGCGAGATTTGAGCACTTCGATCTAATCGATCGACGGGAAAATCTAAAATCGAATTCAAGAACTCAGAGATTATTTAGACACTGAAACAGAATCCAGTGACCCATTAATTCTAAATTCCGTCAATTGGTGATATATACAGCACCAGTGTTATCAGTGTAAGTCACACAAAATCGAAGACTTACAAGCGAAAACCGACAAACTGGTCGAAGATGCAGCCAGAGAAGACAGGACTCCAGGTGAACATAGACAAGACGGAGGTTATGAGAATAACCAACCAACCAACAACAACAACAACAGCAGCAACATCCACCACCAATCACCACCAACGGGAGGGATTTGAAAGGGGTTACTTCATTCACTTATCTAGGGAGCATTGTCTCAAATACAGGAGGAACGGACGAGGATGTCAAATCGAGAATCGGGAAGGCGAGAAACACATTCATCAACCTGATACCAATCTGGAAATCTTCGTCACTCAACTGAGCATCAACAACAAAATGATTCGGATTTTCAACACAAACGTCAAGTCAGTTCTTCTATACGTACGGATTAGAAACTTGGCGGGTCACAAAGAATATTTCCAACAGCCTGTTGCAGACCGTTATCAACAACTGTCTTCGCTGGCTCTATACTGAAGATCAGATGGCCGCCGGTAAGAATCACCAACAAGAAACTATGGGAACAGACAAAACAAGAACCAATCGCTCAACAAATATGCAGGAGAAAATGGAGATGGATTGGACACTCGCCGAGGAGGCCGTTGGGTGACATCGCGCGTCAGGCCATTACTCGAGTGAAACCCGAAAGGGAAGCGACGAGTGGGACGTCTGAGAGTGACATGGAGGAGATCGTGTGAAGAAGAGTTGAAACAGTATGGACTAACATGGATGCAGATGAAAAGTACAGCAGAAGACAGAAGCAAGTAGAGACGTGCAGTTGAAGCCCTATGTTCTACTAGGAACCCAAGGGAACAATAATAATAATAGTGTTATCAGTGAGTATTTGTCCCCACATTCAATTTTTTGAGGTTCGCTATGTCATTACTTCCACTAGAACCTGAGGTAACTCCATTCTGTAGTCAATCAATAATGAGCAAAAGACAATAATTCTCAAACTCTGGTTTGCCAGGCTTCGACTAGATTCAAGTTCGATCGTGAACTAACTTTATTTTGGGAGTCAGCAGAGGTTGGAATGAATTCGCCGGCTATTGAACACTGTCCCAGTAGTAGAATAGCCAACCAGGCAGCCTTGTAACTCGGATTTCTTGGGTTCTACACCTAGTGGTGGGGTCATGGGTGCTAGCTACTGAAGAGTCGAAAACAAGGTTGAAAGAGCTGTCCAGTACTCCTCGATTTTCAGTGGTTCTCATCCTGAAATCATTTTAATGAATAAACTTTTAAAGCAAAATTATATTACGTAAGCAAACAATTAAGTTATAGTGGAAGATTAATACTGAGTTTTTATCCGAGTGAGTTGTTGTCAGAAAAAGATTGTGACTCAAAAGAAAGTTATACCAGGTTAGTGCGATATTAACAACACTATCCTTCTGTATACAAAGATAAGACCGAAGTCTTTCGATAGCAATGGCTTTAGTGTAACGAAGAAGCCAGTGTTTTCAATAAATATTGATTATGTTGAGGGTATGGTTGATTATTTGAATGAATGCCTCCTGTCAGTTTCGTTCTTCCAAATTAAATAACTTTCTCTCGGAAATTAGTCGGTGGTCCTCTTCAAACGGTCTTAAGCTGAATCCGTCTAAATGTCAGGTAGTCAATTTCACTTTCAGACGAAAACGTGACCTACAACAACTAGCCGGCTCACATGGTCCCACTATCATTGACGGCATAGAGGTTGAAATTGCATCTAATGTCAAATATCTTGGACTGAGTATTTCCTCCGATCTTTCCTGGTCTTCTCACATCTTGCTAGTTACTAGGAAGATATTTCGCTTAACATTCTACGTTAGGAAGTTAAGACAGTCTGGTATAAAGCAGTCTTTGCTTTCTCAGTTTGTCAACTCTTGTATTCTACCCATCCCTCTTTACTGCTCCCCATTAATCTTTCCTGGACTACTTAAGAAAGAATTTGCTTTGCTGAGAAGGGCACTAAAAGCTGTTGCTAGGAGAAGTGGGATTTCGTTAAACCAACTGGTTAACACTATTGTGGATAGACATATAATGTCATGTAAGAAACTAGGGAATACTATATTGTCAGACCTTGAGCATCCTCTCTATACGCAGCTCTCTCCTTGCATTTCATCTAGTAGAACTAGAAGCAGCTATAGGAGGCTATATGCTAGGACTGCCAAGTACAAAAACTCCACAATACCTTATCTGGCACGGCTGTTATGTGATGAGAAATCCGTTAGGTATGACACGATCAACTTACTGCGGCACTCTAACAAATAGTTCCCATTAACTTTTGTTGTCCTTTCTTTGTCAGTATTATATTGTTGTTCACATCTTCTATTACACACTAATTTTATATTCCATATTCCTGTGGTCATTGTTTAAATATGTGAGTGCAATGCTGTTCTTTTTTATTTCTTTTCTTTTTCTTTTTTCTTTTTGCTGTTGTTGCTTTTTGTTTTTAAAATCTTATAAAAATTTATGAGGTAATTAGATGCAATATTGTAATGCACACTGAAAATTCCATACCTGTACCACAAATACTGTTTGGAATAAAGCTGTTATTCTTATGATTATTACATTTGCAAATATATACCTAGTGTTCATATGAAGAATTTTGGGGATATGCTCAGAAAATCTAGTGGAAACTCTCCTCTCAACCTTTGCTTGTTACTGCGGGTGCAGGTGAATTGATATATGCAGTTGGAGTTTGATGAGACCAGGATACTTACCTACGTTAGACAGAATTAATAAGCTTTCGTGTTTTACGAGCAAAATCAATCCAGCTGTGGGAAATATCCTTTTCAGCGCACTTCTTTTACGTTTTTCAATTCCTGCTAACGTTTCCAATGAACTATCGTCAAGATCTGACAGAATAGTTCTAAAATATTTGGGCGCCGAGTGAGAAGTAGACATTTGTAAAAAAAATTATATTTGTAAAATCTCAGCGAGATTGAAATGAGTAATTCCAACGTTTCGTTCGGCAATCTGGTCCGAACTTCTTCAGGGAAATTAATTGAAATTAACATAACATATATAATAAAAAGGAACATCTCTTGTTTTTAAAAACTTTGTCCAGTCATGAGTCATTCAACAAGCATAATAAACGAAATTGTATGAGCTGTGATCAAAATTTGACCCCGGACTTACAAATATTGGTCTACCTTTGTTAAACACTTTCAACAGAGTGTGTATATGTGTGTGTGGGTAAACAGTTGTAAAACATTTCTTAACATCTCCATAAGAAGATATAGACAGTCAGGAATTTTGATCAAGTATTATTAATTAGTGATACATATCCATTTTGATTTATTAATCAGGATTTCTTATGCTCAAACTAAACTCTAATCCTAAACACCATAATTTTGAAAATACGTCTAATCATAAAATTCTAGATACTAGCAGTTTGAACAGACATGAAGTTTTGATGTTAGCTGATGCATAGGAAATCCTGATTAATAAATAAAAGTGGATATGTATCACTAATTATTAATACTTGGTCAAAATTCTCGACTGACCATTTCTTCTTATGGAGTAGATTACTGCCTTTCCAGTTGACAATTTTGACAGTTCACATCTATTCCATCTGCTTTT